TGGGGACATCAGTGGGGACATAGGGACAGCATCCCCAGATGTCCCCAGGTGTCCCCAGGTGTGTCCCAGCTGTCCCAGGTGTCCCCAGGTGTCCCCAGATGTCCCCAGATGTCCCCAGATGTCCCCAGGTGTCCCCAGGTGTCCCCAGGTGTCCCCAGGTGTGTCCTCAGGTGTCCCCAGGTGTGTTTTTGGTGTCCCCAGGTATCCCCAGGTGTCCCCAGGTGTCCCCAGGTGTCCCCAGGTGTCCCCAGGTGTCCCCGTACCCCGTCAGGAGCTCGCTGACGTCGTCCATCCTGCCCAGGTCTGGGAATTTCTCCTGGAGAATTTTCCGGATCCCCCGGCTGAGCCCCACGGGCACCACCTGGACACTGCTGGATTGGGGGGAAAAATGGGAATTTGGGAAAAAATGGGAATTTGGGGAAAAAAATGGGAATTTGGGGGAAAAAAATGGGAATTTGGGAAAAAAACGGGAATTTGGGAAAAAAACGGGAATTTGGGGGAAAAAAAAATGGGAATTTGGGAAAAAATGGGAATTTGGGGAAAAAAATGGGAATTTGGGGGAAAAAAATGGGAATTTGGGGGGAAAAAAAAATGGGAATTTGGGGGAAAAAATGGGAATTTGGGGAAAAAAATGGGAATTTGGGGGAAAAAATGGGAATTTGGGGAAAAAAATGGGAATTTGGGGGAGAAAAAATGGGAATTTGGGGGAAAAAATGGGAATTTGGGGAAAAAACCCAAGAATTTGGGGAAAAAACCCAGGAATTTGGGGGAAAAAATGGGAATTTGGGGGGGAAAAAAAATGGGAATTTGGGGAAAAAAATGGGAATTTGGGGGGAAAAATGGGAATTTGGGAAAAAACCCAGGAATTTGGGGAAAAAACCGGGAATTTGGGAAAAAATTTGGCTCTCACTAGTGCCGGAATTCCAGGAGCTGGGAATCGGCGTCGTAGGAGATGAGGAGACAGCGCCGGACGGAGTTCAGGTTCAGCTGGAGCGGGAAAAACAAGGGGAAAAATGGGAAAAACAATGGGAAAAACAAGGGGAAAAACAATGGGAAAAATGGGAAAAATGGGAAAAACAAGGGGAAAAACAATGGGAAAAATGGGGAAAAACAATGGGGAAAACAATGGGGAAAAATGGGAAAAACAATGGGAAAAACAACGGGAAAAATGGGAAAAACAATGGGAAAACAATGGGAAAACAACGGGAAAACAATGGGAAAACAACAGGAAAACAATGGGAAAACAATGGGAAAACAATGGGAAAAACAAGGGGAAAACAATGGGGAAACAATGGGGAAAACAAAGGGAAAAACAAAGGGAAAAATAATGGGAAAAATGGGAAAAACAACAGGAAATACAATGGGAAAACAATGGGAAAACAACGGGAAAACAACGGGAAAAATGGGAATGGGAAAAGCAGGGAAGATCCTCCCTCCTTCCCCTGTTCCCATTTCCAAATTCCCTTTTCCCCTCCCCATTCCCATATTCCCAAATCCCTGTTTTCCCATGCCCAAATTCCCATTTTTCCCCATTCCCACTCCCAAATCCCCAATTTTTCCCATTTTTCCCCATTTTTTCCCCATTTTCCCCCAATTTTCCCCCATTTTTTTCCCCATTTTTCCCCATTTTCCCCATTTTTTCCCGTTTTTCCCCGTTTTTCCCCCGGGATCCCGTTGTTTCCCGCTCACCCTGTGCACGTTGAGGGTGGGGAACATTCCCCATTTTTCCCATTTTCCCACACCCTAAATCCCCATTTTTCCCCATTTTTCCCCCATTTTTTCCCCATTTTCCCCATTTTTCCCCATTTTTCCCCATTTTCCCCATTTTCCCCATTTTTCCCATTTTTCCCCATTTTTCCCCATTTTTTCCCCATTTTTTTCCCCGTTTTTCCCATTTTTCCCCCATTTTCCCCGTTTTTCCCCATTTTCCCCATTTTTTCCCATTTTTTCCCATTTTTCCCCGTTTTTCCCCCGGGATTCCCGCTCACCCTGTGCACGTTGAGGGTGGGGAACATTCCCCATTTTTCCCCATTTTTCCCATTTTTCCCCATTTTTTCCCCATTTTTTCCCCATTTTTCCCCATTTTTCCCCATTTCTCCCCATTTTTCCCATTTTTCCCCATTTTAACCCCATTTTTTCCCCATTTTCTCCCATTTTTTCCCCATTTATTTCCCGTTTTTCCCCATTTTTTCCCCTTTTTTCCCCATTTTTCCCCATTTTTCCCATTTTTTCCCCATTTTTTCCCCATTTTTCCCCCAATTTTTCCCCATTTTCTCCCATTTTTCCCCATTTTCCACCATTTTTTCCCCATTTTCCCCATTTCCACCATTTTTCCCCATTTTCCCCATTTTCCCCGTTTTTCCCCGTTTTCCCCCGGGATTCCCACTCACCCTGTGCACGTTGAGGGTGGGGAACATTCCCCATTTTTCCCCATTTTAACCCCATTTTCCCTCCGTTTTTCCCCATTTTTTCCCCATTTTTTCCCCATTTTCTCTCATTTTTTCCCGTTTTTTCCCCATTTTTCCCCGTTTTTCCCGTTTTTTCCCGTTTTTCCCCGTTTTTCCCTGGGATTCCCGCTCACCCTGTGCACGTTGAGGGTGGGGAACATTCCCCATTTTTCCCCATTTTAACCTCATTTTCCCTCCGTTTTTCCCCATTTTTTCCCCATTTTTCCCCATTTTCTCCCATTTTTTCCCCATTTTCCCCCGTTTTTCCCCATTTTCCCCATTTTTCCCCGTTTTTCCCCCGGGATTCCCGCTCACCCTGTGCACATTGAGGGTGGGGAACATTCCCCATTTTTTCCCCATTTTTTCCCCATTTTAACCTCATTTTCCCTCCGTTTTTCCCCATTTTTTCCCCATTTTTCCCATTTTTTCCCCGTTTTTTCCCCATTTTTCCCCATTTTCCCCATTTTTTCCCCGTTTTTCCCCCGGGATTCCCGCTCACCCTGTGCACGTTGAGGGTGGGGAACATTCCCCATTTTTCCCCATTTTTCCCCATTTTTTCCCCATTTCTCCCCATTTTTCCCCGTTTTTCCCCATTTTTTCCCCATTTTTCCCCCATTTTCCCCATTTTTTCCCCGTTTTTCCCCATTTTCCCCATTTTTCCCCATTTTTCCCCCGTTTTTCCCCCGGGATTCCCGCTGACCCTGTGCACGTTGAGGGTGGGGAACATTCCCCATTTTTCCCCATTTTAACCCCATTTTCCCTCCGTTTTTCCCGTTTTTCCCCATTTTTTCCCCATTTTTCCCCATTTTTTCCCCATTTTTTCCCCGTTTTTTCCCATTTTTCCCCATTTTAACCCCATTTTTCCCCATTTTTCCCCATTCTTTCCCCGTTTTTCCCTGGGATTCCCGCTCACCCTGTGCACGTTGAGGGTGGGGAACATTCCCCATTTTTCCCCATTTTAACCCCATTTTCCCTCCGTTTTTCCCGTTTTTCCCCATTTTTTCCCCATTTTTCCCCATTTTTTCCCCATTTTTTCCCCGTTTTTTCCCATTTTTCCCCAT